TAGGTTCAAATCACAAGAGTGCCATGTTGAAGGATGAATTATTGAGGTGTAACAATGCCCTGCTCTTAAATCCATGAGCTGGGTCGCTCAAATGATGGTGATCGAATATCGTCATGGATAGATCCACATGGGGTTTTTTGGGGTCAATTGACCCCGCAAATTTATTTTTTTATTTTTTTTATAACCAAAATTTTCACTTTTTGACCCCGAAATTTTAATTTTTGACCCCACAGTTCATGACATCTGGCTCAGTCCCAGAATATTGTTGAAAGTTTATTCTACTCTCATTAGTCATCAATTGATTTTCAAATGAGATGATTGCAACCCAATTCTAATAATTTTAATTCACAATAACAATGCTAGAGTATCAAGTTATAATGATTTCTGAATATGATTCGCACATTGATGTACACCTTATGAGTAGGGGTGGGCGTGGGTCGGTTCGGTTCAGTTCAGTTTGGTATTTTTCGGTTCCAGAAATTTTCGGGTATTTAGTAAATGGAACCGTCGGTTCCAAATATAATTTTGGAACCGTTCGGGTTCGGTTCCGTTCTGTTCCGTTCTGTTCAGTTCTGTACTATAATTAAATTTTTTAACATTTAAAATAATACTACATAAATACACCTGAAAGTAGATACTAATATTAATAACAAAAAGTAGATATAAATACCAAATTCAATCTTAACTTTTACAAATTAACGTAATCTAATTTAATAACACATAAATAATAAGTTGTCAAATACAAATACGAAAAAGTAAATATTACTAATAAAACTTCGATAATTCATATCAATAATTCATTTGCTTCAAACATTCAAGTCTACATAAATATGAAATATAAATTAGAAGTAATAAAGATAAAATTTTTAAAGTATTGATAATACTTACCAACTATTTAATGTAATAATCGGTTGCTTGACTTTTCATACTAACTACTAAGAGATTATACAAGAAAAAATTGAAAAAAACACTACTAACAAACATAAATAAACTCTAAATTGTTCAACTAATAAGATTTAATAAGAAAAAAATTATTAATTTATTTAGAAAAAATAAAAGAAATTGATTTATCCAATATAAAAAAAAAATTCGGTTCTTCGGTTCTGGGTCTAGAATCAAGAACCGAATCAAACCATTCGATTCTCGATTCTGATACCCGTTCGGGTATTTGATTTAAAAAAACCAGTTCGTTTCGGTTCGGTTCGGTTCGGTTCGGACATTTTGCCTAACCCTACTTATGAGTAGGCAGATTTTGTTGTATTAATTTTAATAACACATTTTTCAATGCATGGCTGGATTTTTGACACATAAGGGAGTGTAACCTAAGATGTAAAGAATATGTGTAAAAGTAGATTAATCCAAAAATAAGTTAAAATGAATCATCTTCTTCGTCTTAGTTGTCCATGATGAAGAAGATAATGAAGATAAGAATGTCGTACTTATCAAACTCATCGAGGTGCATTTGTTGTCCTTGTCAATGTCATTGAGGCTGATGAGGATGATGAGTAGTATACTTCATATACTTGTTATCTATGTCAATCTCATCGATCTCGTAGAGATTAACCAATACCATTTTGACTTACACAAGAGTGCCGTGTTGAAGGATGAATTATTGAGGTGTAACAATGCCCCGCCCTTAAATCCATGAGCTAAGTCGCTCAAATGATGGTGATCGAATATCGTCATGGACGGATCCACATGGGGTCTTTTGGGGTCAATTGACCACACAAATTTTTTTATTTTTTATAACCAGAATTTTTACTTTTTGACCCGGGAATTTTCATTTTTGACACCAAAGTTCATGACGTCTAGCTCCGTCCCAGAATATCGTTGAAAGTTTATTCTACTCTCATTAGTCATCAATTGACTTTCATGATTGCAACCCAATTCTAATAATTTTAATTCACGATAACAATGCTAGAGTATCAAGTTATAATGATTTCTGAATATGATTCGCACATTGATTTACACCTTGATGAGTAGGCAGATTTTGTTCAAATTTTTGAATGCATGGCTGGATTTTTGACACAACCCATAATATTAATACATATGCTCTTATTATTAAACATACCAGTACATTTTTTTTTTTTTTTGTCATACCTATATAAAATTAAACATAATAAATGCACTTTCGAGTTGCCTTCATTTATTTTCAATTTTAATTTTTTTTCGTCTCATTTCGTGTTTCAATTCCTTCAGACATAAAAACATAAAATGAACACCTACGTCCCTATTAAGTGTTTTTTTTTAAGGTTCAAAATATTGTGAAGTTGAAAATGTAATGGATATGATTAATTTTATTGTGTTTTCAGTGACGATAATGTCGTTAGGATCGTATTTTTTAATTATTAGTTATATTGAAATATAGGAAATTAGGAAAAAAAAGAATGCAGTAGGAAGGAAAAAAAAAAAGAAATTGCTCCGCACAGTGCGGAGCAATTGCTCCAAAGTCTTTGGAGCCCTATAGAAAAGAAAATTCATATAGTCGAACTCAGATTTATTGAAAAATAAGATAGTGTTTCATCGTAGTTGTCTATAATTTACGGTATCGTCGATATAGACCAGAGAATTCTTAAAAATTGTATATTTAGATTTATCAGCCGATATTTAGCATTTTTATGAATANAACCGATATTTAGCATTTTTTATGAATAAGTTTCTTCCATCATGTTATTATCTTGAAGAGGTTTAAAAGAAGAGGAAAAAAGCGACGAATTACTATAGCGGAACGTCTTTGATTCATTTGTTTACTAAGATTTTGGGGTTTTGATTTCTTGTTAGGGTAAACTGGAAAAATATGAATCCGAAATCTAACCAAGTAAATTTTGTGTGAATGTACAATGCACAAATCTCCCTTTAATCTTTCACATTCAATGCTAACATTACCTTAAAAATTACAGAATCCGTGCATCGCACGGGCCAAAGCTAGTTGTAAAAAAAGAGGGAAAAATGAAATATGACCAACATTTTAACACTATTTGGTATTTTCGAAAAACTATTTTCTTTTCTCTCAGAGTTCAAAGCTTCAAGTTCCTCTTGAGTTCAATGATTCGAAGTTGATGGTGGATGTATGCCAAGAAAATATTGATATCATAACTTACACAAGTAAAATGATGGTTTGTGAAGTTTTAACTGAAAAAATTGAGAATAAACTCAAAAAAAACTAATGACAAATTCAATGCAGATCATAGCAACTACTATTTGATGATTACTAATGGAAGAATCAAAGGTTTGCGGGTGAAATGAAATATTGTTAGAGTGCTGCAAGGTCGGTCATAAATTCATGGGTTGAACCACTCAAATGATGACAATTGAATGTCGTAAAAGTTTAGTTTGTTCACCAGACATCATTTGATTTTTAGATGATATGATTGAAATCTAATAATAACAAATGGTATTAGAGCTGGGTATGGGTTCAAATCACAAGAGTGCCATGTTGAAGGATGAATTATTGAGGTGTAACAATGCCCCGCTCTTAAATCCATGAGCTGGGTAGCTCAAATGTGGTGATCGAATATCGTTATGGACGGATCCACATGGGGTTTTTTGGGGTCAATTGACCCCACAATTTTTTTTTTTTTATAACCAGAATTTTCACTTTTTGACCTCGGAATTTTCATTTTTGACCCCACAGTTCATGACGTCTGGCTCTGTCCCAGAATATCGTCGAAAGTTTATTCTTCTCTCATTAGTCATCAATTGATTTTCAAATGAGATGATTGCAACCCAATTCTAATAATTTTAATTCATGATAACGATGCTAGAGTATCAAGTTATAATGATTTCAGAATATGATTCGCACATTGATTTACACCTTGATGAGTAGGCAGATTTTCTTGTATTAATTTTAATAACACATTTTTCAATGCATGGTTGGATTTTTGACACATAAGGGAGTGTAACCTAAGACGTAGAGAATATGTGTAAAAGTAGATTAATCCAAAAATAAGTTAAAATGAATCATCTTCTTCGTCTTAGTTGTCCATGATGAAGAAGATAATGAAGATAAGAATGTTGTACTTATCAAACTCATCGAGGCGCATTTGTTGTCCTTGTTAATGTCATTGAGGCTGATGAGGATGATGAGTAGTATACTTCATATACTTGTTATCTATGTCAATCTCATCGATCTCGTAGAGATTAACCAATACCATTTTGACTTACAAGAAAATTTTCATGAAGATAATGTTGTTTTTGACCTATAAAACTTACTCTTTAAACAAAAGAAAAATATTAGATTGATTTTTTATTTTTTTTACTTGGCCATTTGGAAATAGCTACTTTCGAAAGCTTTATTATATATAATTAATCCGACAATCCTTTCAAAAACGTGGAAAAATAACCAAAATATAATTAGCATCTTTATAGATCTAATTTTTCAATTTTTTTTTAATAACAATACCTTTGTAGTCATAATCATAAAATTTGTCTACTCTAGAGGATATAAGCAAATCTAAGGGAATGTCAAGAAGGTGAAAAGAATTAATATTCTTCTTCTTCTTTTGTGATAATAAATCCGAAAAAATATATAGGGAGAGCATCGACTACATAAACTCTTTTTATTATTCTCGAACGATTATGCTTGCACACTATTGAATAACTTGATTGTTGATAAATTTATTATTGACTACTCGGATTCTCTTTATTCAAATTGCTCGTGCGCGGCAAAAGCAGCTTTTGAATTTCAATAGCTCATTTTGAATTCTCAAAAGTAATGCCAAACATGTATTTGATTAATTTATCCAGGATTGGAAATGGAAACGGGATGTCAAAGGACGTATAGGAGTAGACGAAAGAGAATAGATAAATTTATCCAGACTCACATATAAATATTGAACAATTACCAAATTACAAAATCTAATTAAATTCATTTTACAATCCCATATACGTATATATTTGAACTTTCCAAAACCTAAAAACCAAGAAAAAATATGAAATGATGCATTTAGATGAATGGATCATAGGCTGAAATTTTCTGAAATTTATGCATAATTCGTGTATCAACTCAAAGCAGCAAATCCCCCACCTTTCATCATCTGTCTGAATTCTCTGTAGTTCACCCTTCCATCGCCATCAACATCCACTTTCTTTATCATCATTTTGCAATCTTCTAGGGTTCTTCCTTGCTTCAATCCCAGGGATGCCAAAACCGATCTCAATTCCTCAACCGTGATATATCCATCGCCGTTTTGATCGAAAACATTGAACGCTTCTTTCATATCCTCTTCTTCATCCTCGTCCTTTTCATCCATAATCGTTTGATACAATGATCCGAATTCGTCCATATCGACGAATCCATCGCCGTTCACGTCGATTTTCTCCACCATTTGGATCAGTTCTTTTTCCGGAATGTGGATTCCGAGTTTCTCCAGTGAATCGCTGAGTTCTTTACGAGTAATTTTACCATCTCCGTTGCGATCGAACATGTGGAAAACCCGTTGAAGCTCCGCCGGATCCATTTATCAAGTGATGGGTAATTGAAAAACGATCAAAGGAGGAATTGGATTACTCTTATTACATGGCAGAAAGAAGTGTACGGAGAATATAATTTCATGAATTTCTCAAAAAAAATTCTTGGCTAACGATTAGAAGATAGATCTTTCAAGAGAAAATCGTATGTGGATAGTGAGGAAAGAGGGCAGGAAAATAGGGATATCCATTGAAATTGTTCAATCACTGCTCAAAAACTACGGAATTTGGAATCTAAATATAGAATTCAAACATCAAATGTGGAAATTGGAATTGATATATGGATTGGTGGGGAGTTTGAATTTTGGGATGGTTGTGTGGAAGTCATGTTTGTAGACGTGAGAACAACTACAAACACGAGAAATTAAAGATAAGGAATAATTAATAATATTTTCACGTATCTTACATTTTTAATTTTTTCGAATAATAATAACAATAATAACATAGGCCATTGTACAAAAAGAGTTGATTTAAATTGGCGCGAACTTTTTGTTTGTATTCGTGACATCCTCATTGAACTCGTCATTATTTTCAAGGTTGTTTAAGGTCTCGCGTTATGTTCTCGTATATAGAGCATGTTAGCTTCCCATTTTATAGGAAAAAAACATTTTAGAATAGTATATTGATGGAGAATGTGTGGTTAAAAAATAAGAAAAAGTTTTGGATTTACGTGTAATACTATTTTATTAAGGAATTTATGATTGAAAAGAATAGAGAGAAAAATGTATTTTAAAAATAATGAGAATCAAACAGGGGAATAGTATAGTTTCGCTCTAATAAACAAATAATTTTATAATGAATTTTGTTTCTAGATATTTACTGTTATTGCATTTATTTGATATTAATCATGCGAATAAAGTGTTAATGATTACTTGTGATAATATAAGTTGAGTACTTGCGTCAAAAAATGTATTGTGACACACCTTATATTTAATTATAAATAAATTGATCGCAATGAATATATGAAGGTTGACACTTTGTAGCGAAAGGATGAAGTGTTGAATATATCACAACTCGATGTAAGACTTGTTCTTATCGCATAAACGAATTAATGCTGATAATAGTACAACTTGAAATGTATTAAATGGAAAACATGCCGAATATATATATATATATTTGTTCTTTTTCCTCTTTCTTATTTATTTATTTATTTTAATTATTTAGGTGGAAAAGTATAAAATTATCATTTTGCCTCTTTAAAATTGATCAACATAATGTCAAAAGCTATGCACTCCAATTTAAAGCTTTAGATGATATATACACCGTTTTAAAGATTTGGGAAGTCCACTTTAACTTGACCTTATTGTTTTGCATTTAAGGGAATCTTCACAAATTTTTTTTGGAAAAATGCTATTTGGTCAAGATTTTCAAAAGTTCCCATTTTTTCAAAATTTAAATGACATTTTATTCTGCCTTGTTTGTCTCCCATTCTTTCGAGGATGAAGTAACTTTTTTTTACATACTTATTTTTAATTACATATTTATAGAATAAAATATTTTACACATAAATCAAATTTTTGTCTACTTTTTAACTGCACATTCTTTAAAAATACATTATTCAAAACAATATTTTTTCGACAAAATGGCCACCGAACAAGGGTTCAACTTCCTCTTCTAATTTTCTTGATACACTAATCACAACTGCAGAAGTTTATCTTCAAACACAAATTTCTCGCATATTATGTTATTTATCAAGTTGAACCCCAACCTTGAGGACCCCCTACCGCCCCGTCCCTAGAACATCGTGGAAGAGGTAAATCGCGGGATGTGCGTCAACATGCCATGGTACAAAAGCTATCATACTGGTGCCCACAAAGAGTCAAATTCCATACAAGTTAGTGAATTGAGCACTAATCAACTTTCAACGAATACTCAACCATTAAAGATTCTTTCATCAGATGATCAAATTTCTCATAAAACTTGTACCTGTACATTAACATTTTTACTCAATTTATAATAAATTTAAAATTCACCATTGACTTCAAGCAAGAATAAATTCCATATGTACATGAAACTATTGACATAAATGATGCAGGTGCCAACACATGCGTAATGCATTTTTTGTGTTTGCTGTGTCAAAAATTAATAAAAATTTGCCCAAGTTTCTTTCTGTAAAAATTTTATTAATTTTTTTTCTGTACGAGTAGCAAAATTACTCGGAACAAAATGAATAAAAATCATGTTACGTGTACATAAAGACTGACATATTGATTTACACTCATATGAATCGATAGATTTTAGTACATTGATTTTAACAACACTTTTTTCAATTAATTATCAAAATTTTGACTCACAAAATGTGAGTAAAAAGTTTCAACACTCACTCAACTTTGCTTGCTGTCATGTTATAGTCACTGAACTTTGTTTTTACAATGAATGGTCACTCAACTTACTAGAAATCCACTCCATCCATCAATATGCATAAACCCATTTCATATGCGTTCCATGTGGCTAAACGGACTCCAATGTGGCAAGAGACGTGATAATGTTGCCACTTGAAGACTCATATTCCTAAAAAACAACGATTTCACCACAAAAATGAAACACACCTTCAAATCAACGAGCCCTAGTCTCCCAAAATCAGATTCACTCCCACACAAACCTCAACCGGAAAGAACTCTAAAAATCAATTTGGGAAAATTGCTTCTCTTCAAGTCTGCAAAATCAACGAAGGAGGAAATCAATGACAAAAATCAGTAAAGCCCATGCACGTCTGAAGGGGTGTCGATTAGCACACATGGATGGAGCAGATGGAGGTAAATCATTCGGCATATTCGATTTACAATGATTTTACCCCAAATCTTATATAAAACATGAAACCATCTGAATCTTATTTCAAATTACGAGTAAGCTACGAAAAGGTTTGCAAACTGCAATGTTTGGTATACGTGGTTGAGGAACAAAAATTAGTAAGTGGGTGGAATGTAGTGATTGGCTGCCTTTATCACTAAGTTAGAATAATAATTTTTAGTTACAATTCAATTTCCACTGTAAGAAAATGTTAGCTTTGAAAATGGCGAGCATTGCTACTCTTAGAGAAGAAGGTTGCAATATTCTATTGGCTTATTGAAATGTGGGTTTGTGCCGCTGTTAACAAAACTGAGTTTCTGAAATGTATAATTAGCTTGTCGAATTTACATTTCACACAATCTCATGTCATAATTCATATTTCACACATTTAATAAATCATTCCATTATTTTGATTTGTTGACAGATTACGAAGAAGACCCAGATTTTGTACATTCTGAGGTCGATATGGGTTCTGAGGAAGATGATTTGTTGTATGACCACAATGTAACTGATGTAATCGAAATTGGATCGAACTTGAATGAAGCGGAAAATGAAGTAGTAATGCTTGTAGGGGAGGTGAGAGACGATGATTTGACGTATCCATCATCTGATGAGTTATTATTGAATTGTTCATCAGACGAAGATGTTGGTTATTGCTTTCCAGAATTTTTAGTTTAGACAGATATGAGGAATCCACAGTTTGAGGTCGGAAAACTCTTTCGGTCAATGTAGGAGTTTTGGCATATAGTGAGAACATACTGTGCTCTAAATGGTTATAATGTGAAGTTAAAGTGTAAGATAGAAAGAGAGCTCAAGGAGTTTGCAAACTGGGGGTGTAACTGGAGGATATAGGCCTCAAAGTTGAGTACGATGGAGACAGTGCAAGTGAAATCTTACACGCCTGAGCATACATGCACACAGAGCCAATCCAACAGACATTGCAAAGCAAGGCCAGTTTTAAGCTTGGATGCAGGAAAGTGGTTGGTGTTGACGGGTACCATTTGCGTGGTTGTTTTGAGGGAATTATGTTAACTGCAGTGGGATAAGATGCTAATGATTGTATTTACCCCGTGGCATATGCTATTGTACAGAAGGGGAATTATTGTATGGTAGCTTTTGATAGTTTTTGTCTAGATGAAAGAATTATTGTGTTGGATAGCCATGTAAATTTGATCGTGGTTTATGTCTGGATAGTCATGATAATGTTTTGGTAGCTTTTAAGTTGGCATGTGATGTGAATGTTTGGATGATTTTATATGGTAGCTTTTGATGGTTTTTGTTTGGATGAATGAATTATTTTATGTTAGATAACCATGTAAATTTTCTGTCATATGGTGTAATTATACCCTCATCTTTCATCCAGGTTTTCAATCCATCTCTATTAAATAAACTAAACAAGAGTTAAATCCATCAACAGATCATACCCATAAGATCATGCAATTATAAATGTTAAAAATCTACGAGAGAAGAAACAAATTGGAAGATTAACTTAAGAATTGAAAAACATCAAAAGTGTTCAAACATATTTATTTGAGCACATGTTTTGAACATACATGATAGGTCTTGACACGGATATTTAGTTTTACAATTATACAAATAAACAAAACTCGATTCCGCAGTACACTGTTCATCATCCTTCCACTCGAAATGACCACAATCTCTAGTATAGCATAAGAACAACTTCCCTATATTTGAGCTATTTTTCTCTACCTCCATGCATTTCTCGAAACCTTTGCCACATTTTGGTCAGTGTTTCTTTGTTGGGCAGTCCCACAAATAGTGCCCAAGCTTCCTACAACTATGACCGTGTCTTTCTTCTTCATTCATTTCAGTATCTACCATAATTAAATTTTTTTTTCATTTAACACTATTATTGGCTTCGCAATTTCATATTCTGATTTTACTTCTTCATCCATGAACATTAAAAAATGGCCGCCTTTAATTTATATGGACATGATTATTGTATTTTCCATAAAATCAAATACCAAAATATTAGAAAAAAAATGTTTCCCTCAATTCTTCAGAAAATGATAAACAAGGAAATCCTTCCATATACATTAGTTTTCTTAGCACACAATTTTGAAGAGAAATTTATACCGAAACTTCAAATTTCCATTCTATAGTTATGGGATTAGTACACATTACGGTGCATAAATACCCTATCCACATTTATCTAATCAAACAAGCAATTCAAACAAAAATACCCTCTTCGGTGCTTGAATTTTGAGTTGAGTTTCAAAAACTTCAGTCACTAATTTCCTCTGATGATTTTGCAGAGTTGAAGTAAAGTAATTTTCCCAAATTGATTTATAGGATTCGTTCCATGTTCTGGCGGGAATGAATCTGATTTTGGGAGATTAGGGATCATTGATTTGAAGGTGTGTTCTCATTTTTATGGTGAAATCGTTGTTTTTGGGAAGATGACTGTTCACGTGGCAATGTTATCACACCGTCTCTTGCCACGTTGGGGTCCGTCTAGCCACATGGGATGCGTATGAAACGGGTGTATGCATAGTGATGGATGGAGTGGATTTCTAGTAAGTTGAGTGACCATTCATGATAAAAATAAAGTTCAGTGACTATAACATGACAGTAGGCAAAGTTTAGTGAGCGTTGAAACTTTTTACTCCATAAAAAATGTCAATCAAAATGTGCATTTCTGTGTATAGTTTAATTCATACTACCAATCAGCCAAAAATAGACTTGTCAAGATGGGCGGGCACCTCGGAGCCCAGGCCCGCCAGGAGGTGAACCAGCCAGTGATTCGGCTCATGAACCGTGTAGGCCGAATCACGGGCTGCCCTGACCTGAAACAGGTCCGGGCTGATTCAAGGTGTACCGAGCCAGCGGTTGATTTATAAAAAAAAATTTAATTGCGCCCTGCAAGCTGGGTCAGAACGATTACCTTTTATTTATTTATTTTTGTTTTTTTGCATAGTTAATGGTAATATTTTTTTGTTATAAATTGTGGTATTGTGAAATGAAAAAATAGCAAACTCTCACAATCTACAAGCTTGAAAATTTGAAATCTCTATTTTCTCGTTCTCCCTTAATATTTTCAGCAGGAATTTTAATATTCAGTATTTTGTGCTTTCTTTTCATCTTATTATTTCAAAAATTTTTGTTTAAGTGTTATGGATTCTCACGATTTTTTTTCAAGAAATATCAATTTACATGATAGTTGTTCTCCAATAAATTTG